ATTTGTGTCACATGCTCTAGGTATATACATATATATATAGATATATATATATGTGTGTCTATGCCACACGCTGTAGGTGACCCTGTGTGTGTGGGGGGGATGTTGGACTAGGTTATCTCTAAAGGTCCCTTCCAATTTAGTGGTTTCTACGATTCTATGATTCTATGGCTTAACAGCTGATATATAACAGTCAGGAATGGGAGCAAGCAGAAGCATCTAAGTCCTCTTATAGTCTTACATCATCTGCCTCTCAGATTAAGCTCTACCCACCCATTCATCCATCCATGGAAGGATAAATTCCTGGAATGCTAACAACTCCATGAAGAGCTATGAATTTTATCCTTTATTTAATAGAAAATGAACTTTTCATCTTTTGTTTTTTGCAACTAAAGGTTAGCTAACAACAGAAAATAGCACAAAATAATGACCTTTACCAGCTGATAACAACTCCATGAAGCTAAGCCCCTCTGGGAACCCACAAAGAGGACTGACAAGCTAAGCACTAAATGGCTCAGGTACAAGGAGGTAGAGTTGAAGCCAATACCAACATTGTAGATCTCACTGCAGCTCTAGGGAACACAAACTATAGTGAGAAGTTGGGTTAGGGCGAGGAAGAACCTGCTGCTGCTGCTACGACTGGCAATGACTCAAGGACTCCCATCCAGCATGCCACAGGAGAGGGAAGGACCACAAGACAAGTGCCAACAGAACAGCGATCCTGCCTCACTTTCAGATACATTTCCCATTCTGACCACATGAAAAAACTACCTGCCCCACTCAAGTCTCTGAGAAAAGAAAAAAAAAAAAAAGAAGAAAGAAAAAGGAGAATTGGAGAATTTTGGCAGGTTCCAGTGATGCATGAGGTCAGACAGGGCTGAAGGGAGACCACCTGCCAGTGCAACTCTGCCTAAATCGGTGCATTGGCTCACAAATGGAGGAAGAGTTGGGATTTTTTCAGTCTTCCCAAGGCAATGAACACCTCACATACCTGCAGCACAAGATGGCATATCCATCCTGGTGAAGTCAATGGAAGAGTTGTCCTTGACGCACATGGGTTGCACTGCAAATTACTACTGCATGGCTAGGCCTCCTGGTAGGTTATTGGAGATGCATCTTCCATCGTACCTTAGCAGGAGGGAAGCACTGGTCCTGAGTAACACAGAATTTCCTCTGCAGATAGGCTAGGAACTTCCAACTGAGCTTTGACTTTTGAACAAAATTAAACTTTTATAAAATCAAGCCTCTAAATCCGTATTTGACAGTCTCCAAAAGAATCTGCAAGACTACCAAGCACCCAGTGGCTTCCACCAGGAGGTCCACTGACTTTTCATAAAGTCAGATACCAGATACAAAGATCTCAGTCGAAAGAGAGCTTTTATGGGTATTTAGTCTACATTTCCATATAAAATAAATTCATGCAGCAATTCCTGCATCAAGCCCACAGTTTAACCTATATCACATTCTTAGAAAAGATATCCAGGGCTTTCTTTATATGATTCAGGCAGTGGAAACTCAGTTATTCCTTCAGGTGATTTATTGCAGGATCATTATGTTCAGCAGAACTATGTAACTCTTATCAATAACCTGGTTTGCTCTGCTCTTATTACACTTCTTTCTGATAGGCTTTGGACATGAGAAATCTTCTCCTGGTGGAGATCTGAACAAGCCATTAGCATCTCACTCCTTGCTCTTTGCTCAAATAAACTGAAGGGAAAGACTGGTTTGACCTCGAATCACTTTAAATCTTCCTCATTTTTAATATCTTTTAAAAGTCTGCCATCCTCTCTTGTCTTGCTGATCAGTTCTTACCTGAGGCTTTGCACTGCACCCCAGATCTGCTGTGCATTGCTGGCCATGGTGAAATGTTCCACCCTGCAGGCAGCCTCCTCATTAAATAGAAATGTTCAGTGTTGGCACCTTGTTCAGAAACCAGAAAGTTCAGAAACTTTTCACTAAATGTTTGTGGAAGGTTTTTAAAGGTCTTGGCATCCCAAGGTAGAGAATACAGGTAAAAATTCATTTGAGGAGTGGAGAGCAGAGGAGACCAAAGCCCAGGAAAGAAGGGTAAAATGCACTCATTTAGTCTAAGAGAATAAAATTAAGCTACAGGCTGCCATAAGCACTTTTTCCCTTGAGTGCATACTGAGTGCATCAGGTAAAAAACAAGCATTTAAAAAGAAATGCAATGGTAAATCAGTGACAGCCACGACTCCAATGTACATTCAGTGTGAATAATTCTCATTTGTTACCTCACTTCATGATCCATTCTCAGTTTCATGTTAACCAAGAGGACAATCCTATAAATCTGACCTAGCACATTTGCCAGGACTCCAAACAGCTCCAAAAAAAAACTCACTGCCGAGAGACCACCAACTGTATGATTTCTTGCAACTCCCACCATACATTTTATGGGTAATTAGCAATGCTATAAGGCTTTCCTAGGGCTGGAGAAACTTTACTTCATTAATAACGTTGGACTAGATGATCTCTAGAGGTCCCTTCCAACCTTAAATATTCTGTGATTCTGTAATAGAAGATTTGTGTGTTCATCGGTCTCCTCTCCTCTTCCTTCTTCTCTCCTGCCTATATTCTCAAACTACTCATTTTTAAAATGCATTTTCTTCACAGAATTATAAAAATAGTGGATTTTTTTTCTCTTTTTTTTCAGATTGGGGACTGGACAAAGTCTGAGCCTGCCAAGGCTTTCTTTTTTTTTCTTTTCTTTTTTTTTTCAATTGCTTAAACACTCATAATAAAAGAATGTGCCCCTGATGGAATTTACATTGCAAAAAAAAAAAAGTTCTCCCATCCTCATGTATTGTATCTCATGCACTTAAATATACATACTGAAATCCTATAACTTCCAGGAAAGAAGACTGTACAAGTGCTGTCAAATTGTTAATGACAATGTCATGCACATGGCACATAATTAAAAGTTAAAGGATGAAAGATTTAGGCTGCATCTTGATCTCAGCTTTATACTGACATACGCAGCATGCCAATTCCCATCAGACTTTTTTTTTTTTTTTTGCTCTTAAATGGCATTTTAAAGTAATTTCTCTTGCCTAAAAAGGATATTGTAAAATGCACACATGGGCACGTGTTTCTTTTAACAAGTGCAGAGCTCTAGTTTTCCCTGGGACTCAGAAGAAAAGAGTTGTCACCAGGCAAATCACCTCTCAGAAATGTTCAGGGTACTTCCCTGCAAAAAAATACTCCACCAGGCAGGAGTCACTGGGTCCTTTTTGGGGAATCACTCGCCCCAACCATGCAGAAGCACTTTGCCTGTCCTGAGAGCAAGGGACTGTCCTTCCACCCAAGCCAAAGAGCACTAAGAGATCTTGCCACCATTTTTAAAGATCAATTCGCAACTAAATAAGCTGGCAAAAAAAAAAAACGGTTTCTTGGGGTTCAAATCTGTCTCCCATTAGCTTAGTTTTGAGCAAGCAGATTGGCCACAGACGGCGACACCCTGGGCAAAGTCATGCTGGGGCCAGGGCCACCATGGCTCTGCTCAGGAGCCACCACTTCCATGCAGGGTGATGGGACCCTGACTCTGGCCTTACCACTTTCTTCAGAGACTGCTAACCACAGGGATACTAAAACAAGAGAAGGGGCAGGTTTGACAGGCAGTGATGTGTCAGGGAACACTTAGTTTTAGCATTCCGCTTGGAAGTCCTCTCCAGAGCAGCTATCGCCCAAGGAGCAGTGCCCAGAAGGTGCACATAGCATGGGGGCAAGACATGAGAAATAAGTGATGACTAAGTGACCTAGCTGACTTGAAAGAAGATGCCAGCTACCTAGAGAACGAAGATACTTCTCTGCAGGGCTGGATTCCCATGTCAAGGGGCAAGTAAAGGATAGTTAAGGGGTTTTGGGTGCAGAGAGTGGCTGGATGCGCTCGCCCACCCAACAAGGCTTCCTGGCTCTCCCTGTGCCAACCAAGACACCCTTTGCTGAAGGGTAGGAAGCTGGAGCCCATCCCAAGTCAATAGCAGAGCAGCAGCTGAAAAGACACAAGGTTTTGGGGAACTGTGAAGGGCGAAGTGCTGATGGGAGGGGTACCTAGGGTATCTGCAGGGTGTTGGAGCCTCCCTAGCTCCCCCTGCTCCCCATCCCACTGAGGTGCACATGCTTCTCAGGGAGTATTTAGGGAGGCGACCTCCCCATGAGGGAAATCGCTGGAAGGGGCACAGCGGCCAGCAGATTGGGGTAGAAATCAGAGGAAACCGGGAATTTCCCGGGTACGGTGGGGGCCGATGGAAGAAAACTGCGCAGCCGTCGGGTCGCAGCGAGACTCCGGGAGGGAGGGGGCAGGATTTCTCTTCCCTCGCTTGGAAGAGCGAGATTAAAGAAGAAAGTGGGAGTGGGGTGGGAGGGAAGGGAAGGGAGGGGGGGATGAACAAAGGAGATTGGCAGCACAGCTGTTTTGGGAAGAAAAAAAAAAAAAAAAAAAAAAGCCAGCCTTCCTGTTTCTTTAAAGCCGCTCATCGGCGCGCTGGGCCGGCTGCCGGCGCTGGGAGGCAGCGCGCACGGACGGACGGACAGACAGACAGACAGAGAGAGAGACAGACAGACAGACAGCCGTCCGCAGCTCCCC